TGACCTTGGAGAAGTGGCCCTTTGTAGGGAATGTTGTCACTCAAGGGCCAGCTGGTCCCAGGGTAGGGTATGGCCTGTGTTTGCAGATTCGGTTCCACAGGCTGCAGGATCGTAGTTTTCTTAGTTCTGTTGTCTGCCCCCTGGTGGGTGAGGAGGGTCTTGTGCAGGCCTTCTGGTGGGAGGGGCTAGGCCCTGGGCAGGGCTATGTCAAGGGGTGTGTGTAGAATGTGCTGTGGGCTTAGGAAGTCTTTGGGCAGCCTGTCTGGGGGGTGGGGCTGTCCCCCACCCAGTTGTTTGGCCTAAGCACTAGAGCCTACAGGCTGTTGGGTGGGGCCAGGTCTTGGTGCTAATGACTCAATCACGATTGTCAGCCTTGAGCAGAGTTCATGCAGATAAATGCTCCCCTACATATCCGACTGCCACCAACTTTTATGTCCCCAGGTTGAACCACAGCCCCCTACCCTCCCTAGGAGACCCTTCAAGAGCAGTAGGTAGGTCTGGCCCAGACTCCTATGAAGTTACTGCTTTTGCCCTTGGTTCTGGTCTGCATGAGATTTTGTGTGCTTAAGAGTGAAGTCTCTGTTCTTACCCACTACAGTAGCAGGAGCCCCACAGGACTGGGGGACACAATCCATAGCCAACAAGTACAGGGAAAGATGCTCAGCATCACTGTGGACATACAAATTAATACCACAGTGAAATTAAAACACACCTGCTGGAATGGCTAAAACTTTAAGACTGATAATAGCAAGTATAGATAAAGGAGGGATGGATTAGCAAGACCAGAGGGATAGACAGAGCTAGCTGCTCACTCTCTAATATCAAGATATGGCCTGTACCATGCTTTCATTTGCCAGTAAGATTATAAGTAAATGACTGAGAAACAGGAAGAAAATTCTATTTTGAGAGTGTGTCATGTAGGCCAAAGTATTACTTCTTCCCTGAGCCAAGGAAGAGCACAAAAGAGGATGGGGGTACCTAGCTAGAGCAGCCCGCATGATGGAGAAAAACTCCAGTGAGGTGGTCCACCCCCCCTCACCTTAAGAAATTTGGTGCCTCAAACGGAGGGAACAGTCCTTTTTTCAGAGCTGGCTCCCTGGGTTTGTCTCCAATTTCTCGAACAGTATTCCTTCCCCAGTGGGCCAGCTGTCGTTTGAACAGTGCTCTCAGGAGTCCTTTAGTAAACTAGTGGTTCTCCAGAGTAAACCTGCATTAGAATCACCTGGAGTATTTGTTGAACCACAGGTGGTTGGGTCCAGGATCTCTGAGTGAGTCAGGTTGGGGCTCATAGCCTCCATTTCTAACACAGTTTAAGATTATTTGAATCAGTGCTGCTGGCCTGGAGAACCACTGGAGTGGGCACTTGTCCATCTGCCCCAGTGTCAGGAAACTTCGCACCTGGCTGGCCTGGCCCCAGTCCCTTCGAGGTACTCCCTGGTGTCGCCCCCTCTTTGTTGTCTCCAGATCTCTATCTTTAGTCCTGAGCTTTAGAACCTAGACCTTTCTCCAGCCAGTTCAGTTTTCTTCCACTGCTAGTTCAGCCTCTCTCAGCCCCATAGTTCTTTTGAAAGAGTTTCTAATTCTGTGCAGGTGTACTTACTCTCACATCAGGTCAAAGCTACTTTCTTCCCATTCTTGTGACCCCTGACAGGGTTAGTATCCACCGGGCAGATTTCCCTGGCAGTGGACATCATGTGTCCATTAGTTTCCCTGAGCTGAGCTACCAATTGCATAAGCACAGCCTGGATTCTCTAGCTCGCTGACGTCTGTCTCCTGTCTCTGTTGCTGCTCGCTGTGAGGCCAGGGACCCTGACCCTCCGCTGGATCGCAGCACACGGGAATCTCCGACATTGTCATCAGCTGCATTCTGTCTACAAAAGGCTCCTGTCTTCTCTGCTCTTTTCCCACACCCTGGTCCAGGTACTACCTTCTCATGCCCCTGCCCCCAGGCCCGTCTTCCCTGGGTTATACCTTCTTCCTAAGTAACAGATAATGAAAGAGGAGAAATAACAACTGATACCATAAATGTACAAAAAAAGGTAAGAGAAACTATGAACAATTATATGCCCACAGATTGGACAGCCTGGAAGAAATGGGCAAGTTTCTAAGTAACAGACAATGGGATGTGGTGGTCCTTTGATTCTAATACATTTCTCTTGCTCCAAATCAGGGTGATTACTCCCAAGGCCATCATGACTCTGAGGGAGGAGAAGCTTTTCCTTGGAAGGTAGAAAAAAAGTTAAATTATACTCAAGTTACTAATCAATGAAAGCCTTATAATACTGTACAATATAATATTCAATTTGGGTTAAAGTAAATTTTACTAACTTTCTGATGGATCAGAATGGATAATATTCATTATGAACATTAATTAACATGGGTAATTGGAAATGCAAAAAAATGAATTTAATCTTTCTGGTTGACAGTATAATGGATGTATCAGCTTCGACTCTACTAGAAAGGAGATTAAGTCGAATAAGTCCTTTGATATTTTCAGTAAAAATCTGGCTCAGACCTCTGCTGTCTATATTTCAGGTTGTTAATGTTGCTAAAAACTTCCTGACATATGAAAACTGCCTAGTGTAGTATAAAAGCCCAATTAATATTAAAAATTATTTTATTCTCTGTGGAAGACTTGGACACATCATTAATCTTCACAATATGCACTCAATTTTTACCTCTACCTAAATCTACGGAGTGCAATCCCCATCTGTCCAGCCAGAAAATTCTTGGCGTACCTAGTCTGTTAACTAGATAAAAATACAAATATAGTTGGGAATAAGTCTGTAATGTTTCTTTGAAGTTTGAAAATTACATATCA